GCGGTCGCGTGATGCCCTTTGATTGAAATTTGCCGCGTTGGGAAAAAAGTTCCCAGTTGTTGACTTTTCGCGGCTTTTCCCGTATCACATTGGCTGTATACCCCTCTCCCCCGCCACCCGACGGAAAATTTTCGGGTGAGGAATTGGAAAATGAGATTTCGGAAGAACTGGTAGGAAGCTGGGACTTGTAGGAAAGTGGTAGGTAGGTGTTCGGGAAGGGTGGTCGTACCGCAGCCCTCCTTCAGGGAGGGAATCTTACTGACACCACCATTCCACATATCAGTACCCTGCGCTGAACAGGGCACATCATTATTGGGGATTTTGGTCGAGTCCATGCGACGCCCCCCCCCCTCCTTTTTTTAGGGTTGGTACGACCCCTGATTCCCTCCACATCAAGCTGTCGAGCGGGGGGGGGTAGGGTGAGGGTGGGGCTAAATAGCACATGTGAGACGGGAAGAAGCGCAAGGAAAATGCACCCCCTTCTACACTTTCTTAGATAGTCCCCAACTTCCTACTACCTTTTCCGTAATTGCTCGAGAATTTTCTTACTTTTCTCCAAGAATTTTGTTGTTGAGCGGGGGTCTCGCGAAAAGTCAGCAACTTCTCTCAGAAGGTGACAAGGGAATACGGCCCTTCCCCCCCCCCTTTACAACGCCCGTGGAACAAGAAAAATCAGCTATCAAAATAAACACGTGTCGGCCTAAATACGACTCCCCCCCCCCTTCACATAGCAACCTTATACGCCGTGTTGGGAATCCCCAACAACGATGTGCTCCGGCGCCGAAATCCCCAGATACTTAATACAGTCGAGCGGGTGCGAGAAATTTATAGCACACATGAAACGGGAAAAACCTGGTAAAGTGGACAATCGAAAAAGCGCTTTTCACAAAGGAAAACGTTAACCTCTAGGGTTCCCCAGCGTTCGATGTGCCCCAGCCACACTACTGCAAATCTCATTTTTTGAGACGACACACCGTTAGTTTCATATGTCAAAGTATAACTTGTTTGAAGAAACACACTTTGTACCGACACTTGTCAATAAATGGTGATCATTGAGCATACGATCTTCCTGCACACACGTCATGATCGAAAATCGCATCGATGGAATGTCATTGAATATTCCAGACATTTATGACAGAACACACTTTATGCCGTTAGCATTGTTCTGATATTTGCAGGACAGGAACTTTCTGTGACAATCTGAAAGCATGCTGAATTTCTCCTTTTTGAATTTTTTTGTCATGAACACGTTGTCTTTTCCCATTTAATTGTTCTTCTACACATGTTCCTCCTGCTATAGTTTGTAACATTGCAATTGTCGGGGCGGCGAGCGCAGCGCGGCACGAGCTCGCGTCCGGCCGCCTTGCTCTACCAATGGTGATCGAGCAATGATCGATGTAGGAAGGAATCAGCCACTGGTGGGAAGGCCGCAGGTGGGAACCACTGATTGCGACCTGACAGGTCGCGGTCAGCGGTGTGTGGAACCTTATAGATTGGGAACCAGGCGTCTCAAAAGAACGGTCCGTGATGACCTATGAAAATCAAAATGTTGTGTGGGAAGGTAGTGTGCTCCGCAGTGAGCAACTCTGTGCCAGTTTCGCAGTAAAAGAAATAAAGGGCAGAGTTGCTCCAGTGGTACCTCCCTTTTCCAGTGACTCCGCCTCCAGACTCCGCCTCCAAAGTCCGCCTTCCAGCCAAAAGTAATGCTACCGGGCAAGTAGCATGAAGTGGATGCTTCACTGTCTCTTCTAGAGTCAGAGGGTTCATTACAAAGGTTCATCCGACAGGACTCGTCCTAGCGCGCAGCCTTTCGGTCATTTACCCACACAATTGTTTGGCTGGTAAAGTTCTAATAAAATGCTTTCCAACGTTCCCTTTGGCTTTTCCCTTTCGAATACGAAGGTACTTGGCAAATTTTCTTGAATAATTCTACAACAACACCTACTGTCCTTATCGCGGATCGTGCCTTCAACGCAGACAGTATCCTTTGAGAGAGTTTCACGACAATTCGACAAGACGTACAAGGTCGATTCACATAGCCCGAAAAACACTGTCAGCTTTATTTACCCTTCATTAGCACACCTAACCCACCAGATTGAAGCCAGTTCTGACCGAGTTTTTCTATGTGCCTTGACAGAATGGTGAAAATGTACCCTAGGATGTTTGACTCCCTGCAATAGGAATATCGATCATCTCGCCTTAGCCCGAGACCGCCCGCCGCCACACGCGCCGGCATTTTGGCTGCAGCACCTGTAGCGGAGCGGCGGAAGGTTTCGTGCCTAGCGGATGTGATAATCATGTTCAGGAACTGAAATCTACGTACAAATTTTCAGCCAATTCTGCCAAGGCAGAAAAAGTCGGTCAAAAACTGGCCTGTTTTCGGAGGGATTGGGGTAGCAAAGGTAAATAATGCACACTGTCCTATCGGTAGATGCTGCGTTTTGCATTTTCCAACCAAGTGCACTGTTATAGCGCCTAATCGAGGTGCAACATGCCGACCCAAGCGCCCACCGCAACCGCCCGCCCACGAGTGGCCGCGCAGTCACGTTGAAGGTGATACTTTAATCGCTTCATTTATGAGACCAATAGATATGAATGTTGCTATCTGGATATACGATACATTCGTGCACTGTATCTACCAAAGCAATTGCTGGCACGATGCCGGTAACTGGCGCAAACAGAATCGCTAATCGCGTCGCCAGTCCAGCGTCGCGTGGCGAACGTCGCGTCCTGCTAAGGACGAACGATTGTTTGACTACAGTGGAGGCCAAAAAAAGGTCACCTCGACCAGAGTCACAATATCAGCAAAGTTTTCGCTGCCCAGACAGAGGACGTGGATACGAGTACCAGGGCGGAAGATACCCAAGATGTTCCTCTATAAGCAGGAGCTGGCTCTCGCCCATCACCTTCATGTACACCAAAATATGAAGTCATCTCCAGTCGCAGCCTGACTGGAGAAGACCTTTGGAATTCATGTCACCTCCAAACAGCTGCGAAACTTCTAGTATGGAGTCACCCATGGATAGCTACCTGGAGACCAGTACTCTCAATCTGGATGACCTCCAAACATCGAGCAGCTCCGACAACGTCGCTACGGTCTAGGACATCATCTTCACCGCAGTCGCCAAGGCGCGGGTTGATGGTATGGACCGGACGTACCTGGAATGGAAAGACCAATATTTTCTTCGTGGACCCCGGACTGAAGGTGAGCGCTGGCGGTTACATTGGGCAACTCGTGAAGAATATCCTCCTCACATGTGGTCGCCCGTACCTTCTTGGAAACTTTGTACTGCTACAGCATTGAGTGCCACCACATGAAATCGAAGGGCGTTGGAGAAACACTCGCCTACTTGGAATGGAAGGGGGCTGAGTACCTAAAGAAGATGGAATATCCAAGTAGGTCACCTGATCTGAATCCCCTCAATTACCCGGTTCGGGCGGAGTTCAATAGGGTGGTCTACGGTGGCGGGAGACACATCAACGACCCTCTTAACTTGTCAGGCCACCACATCGCGGTTGCGGCGGTGCGCGCCAGAATTTTTCCGGCTGGCGGCGGAGTGTCATGATAGTATTTAATATGCTCTTCAATACGGTGGTAGAAATGTCCGATCAGAATTTAATAAATGTAACTTATAGCGCCTCGAAAGTCAAAGGGAAAGGATTTTTTTTGGCCCCCTACCTGTAAATGTCCGTTGTTTTTAACGGAATCCGATGCTACTACGTTGTCCCCATTGCCGCGCGCGGCGAAGCGGCGATTTACGATTCTCTTGCTCGTCTACCCACGATGCTAAGGGGAAACACGTCCCCGTTAAATGTTTTTTGCTAATAATCTCCGTCGATGCTTATTGAGACAGATTTTTCACAGGTATTTGGCCGTTTAATCTTTGGCCTTTAATTAATCATTTTCCTACCATTAAACATCCTTTCACTATTTCAGAAGCAAGTATCAAACTGTCGTAGTTTATGCCTTTGATGTCGCGTCTCCTCACTACTAAGAGGTACTGGGGCTCAACTACCTATAACAAGATGTTAAATAACTCAGTAGCGGGTGAGAAAGCAGCAAAAGATCGTCCCAATCGCCTAAAATAAGGTCCTCCACAGATTTCAGCCATACTACGGAGAAGGGACGTGTCCGGACGAATTCTCATTTGCTAGTTTAGCTTATCTCATCGCTCTCACCACTGGAAATGTGGAGAGGTGATAGCGCAACAACGGCACCTCCACGAAGTCAGCAAAAATGGATGGGGACAGTGGGCGGAGCGCAGCCTTGGTCATGAGCGGATGGCGTGCTTATCACGTATTTTCGGGCGGTAAAATTCTTACCTCCTCTCCACATATGGATCTGATCATCTTGTCCAACTATGGCGTCCGCACATCAGTGAACAGTGGGAGTTGTCTTGAATCTTTGCCTTCGGAAATTCATTACAGCATTCATCGTTTTGTAAATACACCAAGTCTCGTTCTACAGCTGCGCCAAAATGGGCCCAACCAACGGAGTATAGTCCCGAAGAGCTTCCTGAGTAGTTCCTTTTTTGCGAGAGCATAATCCTAGTGGGCTTACAGGTACTTCAAAGGGCATATGTCATTCCTGCGACTATAATTTATCTTCTCCCGATAAGCAGGGCGGCGAAGCGTGCCCCGTAGACGGCCGGGTGACGTACGTACTGAATGTACTTTGACAATTTGCGAACGGTGTTCTCATCTGAATGATGGCACCTCCATTTCGTCACTTACTGTCGTTTCTGTCTTGGATGACACACCCCAACTATCATTGTTACTTTTTTCTGACCCTTCAGCCTCCTGTTCAATTGTTTCTAGTCATGTGGAACGTGTTTTTTCGTACTTTGCTGCTCATTGTTGCCCTAACAATTCAATGGTTTATCGATAATGTGATACGGTCCTCTCCAGATAACACCCTAATACCTCGTCAATAATTCGTGCTGCACTCACTCCGTCAGGCTCCTGTTCGACTGCTCTAGTTGTGAAGATCTCCTGCAAAGATGGTGTCGACGGATCAAGAAGTTGCGGCGTCAGAAACTGATGGTAGACCAAGGTAAGTAAACAATAGGTTGAGAAAAAGAGTTCTCATCGCATTACGTTGTTTAACTTTCTCACGTGACAGGCGCTATACTTGACCCCACGTTGTACTTATTGTTGGAACTATATTTACCCAAGTAATTTCGTCTAACAAAACACTGAAGGCAGAGCAAACTGCAAAGAACTCATTGGTAACCTTAAAATACGACTTGTAGTACGCCATGCATCAGCGTCACTCAGCATTGACACATATGCGAAAAACGCTCAGGGAATCCTTTCCTAAAACTCAGCAGCTGCTTATAATTTTTTAGATGTTAACATGTTCTTACTTCTATTCAGAGTTACATAGCTATGCTCTATTACTTCACATAGTGTAGCATTATGCTATGCGTACTATGCGCATTACACTACTTTCTGGGGTATAAGGCGCACCCTCGTATAGGGCGCACCTTCGCAAACGTTTTTTCTCGCTTCGCTTCTACGTAACTTTTTCTTATGGCTTTTTTCCTGTATCGAATCAACTATATTGAGACAGAGAGGTTTGAAAAGCATTTAGGGGATGAAAGTTAGCAGAAATAAAACTTCAGAAAATTTGTTTTGCCCATAATCTCTTAAAAGGATTACCCCCGCCTTTCAGCCTAATACCCCATGAGACAACGTGATTATATTCTTGCTAGAAAATCGCTTACTAACATATAGCGAAAGTTGCCGGTGGACAAGCGGGTGGTGGGTTGGTGGTGGGCGAGGTGGGCGTAATATCGGTATGTGACAAGAGGCATCGTAATTTGCCGCCGCTGCCGGGCCATCGGCGCGCGACGATCCTGCCCGCAAAAGGACGAAGGTCTTCAGGCAGTAGTGACAAACATGCAAATAAGGACCGAAAACCAGTAGATGAGCCTGTCTACGTGACAGGAGTTACATGAAGTGCGGTGCTTCATTCGAATCGCCGCGCGTGGCGGTGCGGCGAATTACGATCCTCTTTACCGTCTCCCAGGTAATTCACCATATTGATGGTGAGCCATGACCTTCCCTAAAGGTATGTGTGGACGATGTTATGGCTTCTGAAGGAGGACAACTTGCGCGCAAAAGGTAGTATCCGTCACTGGGAAAACCCCCTAACGTTGGATTTTTCAAGTAATGCACTTTTCTAGAAGACTTTGGTGTCATTAGAAGGAGGGAATTCTTTACTTTCACAATTTTTTATTTGTTTTTTTGGCCCTGTACTGTTCAGCTTATGGTCCCTTGAAGGTTGAAAATCTTGCCTCTTCAGAAATTTTCAAAATTTTCAAAGTTATTTTTGTGAAGTAACCGTAACATTTACTTCAGTGAACACTTTGGTGACTATAATGTAAGCACCCTGGAGATCACGAACACTTTACAAAATATTGTTTCTGAAGAATGTTACAACCTTTCAAAAATCTTAATGATACAGTGATGATAGTCTGGGGTGAGATATGTAGGGCGCGCCAGCGCTTAAATGCAGCTAAAAGAAAACCGCATTCAGAATTACGTCCTTTTGAGTAGCTAGGCTTAGCGATGTAGTCGCGTAGAGGGGTCGGGGGAGTCGCATGGACCCCTCTTTTATGGGTGGGGGTCGTATCAACGGGCCAATTTCCCTCAAGGGGACGCTTGATCCTGTGTCCCTCAAAGGTTTCCTCTTATGCTGTACCCTCTATACCTCACGACTGTGAAACACCAAAATTCTGCTAAGTACAACGTCAGAAGCGCTGAAACCTTCCGATTTCCTCATATCGCACCCGTTTTGGTCGCTTGTCAAACCAACACTCTTCAACGATCCCTCGCTCCAGTCTTTATACTGGTCGCATGTTCACATGACTGGAGGTGTAAAGCAGGGTACAGCATCGTTGTGTGAACACATAGGGTCGTACTTCCCCGCTGGGGAGGGGGTCGTAGTTGGTCGTTGTTGGGAGAGAGGGGGGGGGTCGTATGTGTCCTATGGTTGAAGCTGCCGCGTTAGGGAAAAATCCCCGGTTGTTGACTTTCATGGGAAGTTCCCGGAAGTTGGGGAAAATTTGAGAAATTTTCCTGTTTCACACTGGCTATGTACACCCTTCTCCCCTCCCAGCCCTTCCCACTCGACGAAAAATTTTTGGGTGAAAAACTGAAAAAGGTGGAAAATTTGTGGTAGGGCTTTGGAAGGGGGGGGGAGTCTCACCGAGACCCTCACTCAGGTGGGGGGCGTCGTACTGACATCACCATTTCACCCATCACGATGCTGTACCTTACCCCCAAGAGCTTAATCACGAGGCGTATCTAGAAGGATATGAGCACTGGCTTCCATAGGGGCTCATGAAAGTTACTCTGTCAGCCCAACATGCTTACAAGGTTATCAAAAAAACTCGCATAAGCAGCATAATATCGCGATTTCGAGTGTTGGAAAGTATTCACTTAAGTTTGAACCATCAAAAGGGTAAGCAATCAGAAACAAAACAGAAAACAACAGCTGTCCCCAGCTCTGACTATTCAGTTGAATCCCATTCAACTTGACAAATGCTTCATTTACCAAAACATCAACTCCCCACAGCCTCTATGGCGGTTAACAGACATTTTGATCTATTTTTTCTGAATTACGCTGAGTAGCTCATTTTTAGTGACGGACTCTCACTCAGTACATACTTAGTGCTTTGAGAACTCCCGTGAGCAGTTTGGTTGAGATGGGAGCTTCAATTTGAACAATTCATCACCTGAATGTTGACTTCGCTGCCGTAACCACTCCAAGGGGTTTGCGCTCGTGCTTCATAAAAGTTCTTTCTGACTTTAACTTCCCAAAAGACAGTTTCCATATCCGAGTTCTAGTCAGGTAGTTATGCGATTGGAAAAATGCTGCTATCTTTGTTCTTTCTTTTTCGAGATTTTTTTGGCCACATCGCCTGTGCCTCATTCCCCTTTTTCTCCTACATAGAGTAGCTCGCGGAGAGTTGTACTGGATTCTTTCATTTCGAGAAGTTCAAAAGGATTACAATGGGAAAAATTAGGGCTAAACTTGTTTCCTTTGCTTTACACAATTATTATTGTAGAGGGTTATGAGATTTGTCATTTGTGGTTATGAGAGAGTCATTTTTGCTGGAGCTAGTCGGACCATGTTGGCTGCGCATTGGTTTTGTCGCAGAGCCAGCTTGTTCCCCATCGATCGTTGGAGCTTGAGGAGTTTAGTGAGAGCTGGAAAAGGGGCCTAAACCACGCGTCGCTGACACGCCCCAGCTGACTTCAGTGATGTGACTGTATGAGGTTTTCATTGCTAAAAAGCACCATTTCCAAGCATACGTGAAACGCGAGCGTGTGGGAGGGAGGGTGCAGGTGGAGTCATGAAAATAGTGGGAAAGGGAGGGTAGAAGTAGGGTTACGAAGAGCATGGGGAGGGTGACATCGCTGCGTACCAGTGTCTCACAACCTACACTCTACCCTCAGACGTGGCAGGCGTGGCAGCGTACTTCATTTAAACATTATATTATATTGAGAATATTCAAATATTATATATTCTCAACATAATATAATAATAAATACAAATACAACAGATGACCTTTCGTCGGTTATTTCTATTTGAGACAACTGTTGTCTTGTCTTGTATTCGATGAAGGTATGAATACAGTTGTCACGAAACGGCAATATCCCACCTGAGGGTCAGCTCCTGCCAAGTTGAGACACGCGGCCACGCCTAATCCATTTCCAGGATATATACTGTACCTTCACCCCACCAGGATCACCAAACTTTCCACTTATTTTCCATGGATTTTCCCAGAATTTTTCAAAGAACTTCGCCCGAAAAACAGTCGTCTAGCGGAGGGGGTAGAGGGTGGAGGAGGTCCTCTGCAAACAATTACCACTGTCTGTTGTGTTGTAAGAAACGAAGATTGTATGCTAGGTTTGCGTCAATACCAACTAGGAAGAGGGGGAGGGCGAGGGATTCTCTGTGCGGAAACTTTTTTACGCCCCCCCCTCCCCTCCCTCCCCACCACCTCCCCATCGTGCGAAATACGATTCTCCATTTCGGATTCTGCTAATGATGAGCAACCAAGGCGGAAAAATCAGCAAACGAGAAAAATTCTCGAGAACAGTTACGCTATCCTTCCTCAGTCCCCACTGATTTTCAAGGTTGGATTGGAAGCAAAATTTTTAAGAAAACAGTTCAGTTTGCTAGACGTATGTCTTCACTTTGATTTCTAAAATTCCTTACTTTCCAAAATTCCTCATATAATAGCCATTATCCCGCTGTCATAGAAAAATGGTCAAATCTGAATAAATACTGTAGGTGATGTTCACAGTGAACAAGGAATTTCTGTGGATTTCCGCCCAAGGGGTTTGACAGAGACTGCAGCATAGGAATCCTATGATGCCAAGTCAGGTCTATGCGGGTGGCTGAAAAAGTGGGATCACAGCTAAGTTCTATTAACTTTTGCCGGGTGACCAGAGTTTCGTGTGGTCTAGTGTTATCCTGGTGAAAGGTACAATCGTGTACCATGAAATTTTGTCCGAGTGCTTCCTTCGAAATGTCTTCTTGAGCACGATAATTTTCAGAATTGACTGTATCGCTCTTTGGTGGTAGCTCATAATGAATGAAAACCTTACAGTTTCAGTAGCAATAGGATATTACTTCCTATAAATGAACATCAGCTTAAAGGCAGTTGGCACGATGATTTGGTGCTCGGCCTAAAATGCTAGTAGGGCGCTATATAGTGGGGAAATGGCGAAAGAACGGAGTGAAACGGTCAAAATCCTGCGAAAAAA